GTGAATCATCAATCAATAGACACATCGAGATAGACAAAAGTTATCAACCAATAAGAAAGAAACTTCACACACAAAGGGTCAAAGTTCAAGTCAAAGAAACAACCGGTTCCAATGCAAGTAACCTAGAAGGTGTGAAAACACACACAAACAACCAATCACGTCCAAGGTCACCAGGAGAGATGATTAATAAACTCGTGGAGAAATCTAAAAGCTCACTTCAAATTGAAGTATGCGCTGAAGATGTCACCCAGTAAGGTGATGAAAGCTTCGCAAACTAACCATCCAGCTCAGAGAACAAAACCACATCAAAATCATCCACCTGAGCTACAAATCTTCTCTATCATATTGGTAAATTTGTTACTTAACTGTAGTTCCCACAATAAATTGCCACAGCTTCATTCCTCCATAAGTACTGTAATAAAGTTCCTCAGTTAAGCGTGATAGATAAGCGATATCTTGACAAAACTAGTCTTTTCAAAAGCTGACTAGTTTACTGTTGAAAGTAGAACACTCAAATATAGTCGTTCTAGTCGGTGACTGCAATGTTCAAGTAGGGAAGTTGTGCCAGTCTGAGAAGTGAAATGGCGACACTTGCAGAGTTCCATGCCAACAAACGGACAACAGCAATCGTCTTCTGAAGTTTTGTTCAGATAATCTTCTGTTCCTGGTCAGCACCAACTTTAAACATAAGGAGACATTGTCAAACGTAGTAACTCCTATCGTCAAATCAATGATAGACTCAAACTGACCGCATAGTGATAAGGTGTCAGTGGTGAGGATCGGTAGAAGACTGTTGTTGCTTCTGGAACACTTGCACAGACTCTGATCACGCCCTAGTCTGTGCTTGCGACTGAACGGACATAGGAAACAGCGAGCGGTGAAGCCATTACGCCTCCAACTTGGTCAGGACACTAAGTTTCTATTCAAGGAAGAAACGACTAAATGCTAATTTGAGTTTGGCAGCAAGATCCATCCAGAGGAAGCCTGTTGCAATACCTAGTCAGCTGTAGGAACGCAAATTAAGGTTGTTGATAGCTTATAACTAAATGACCGTGGATTTGGACTACTTCATACCACCCAAGAAGACTGATTCCAGAGGGCTCCGAATATACTGAGGAGCGAAAGCTGCTCAAAAGCAGAATGACTAAAAGTCTTCGTACCCATCGTGAACACCGATAGACAACAAGAGCGAAAGAAATGGAAAGGTATTGGCAACAGGTAACACTTCACAACCATTTATGCTTATCAGGGAAACAGGTGACAAGAAGAAAATGATTAGCGAGACAATCTCCGAGAAGAATGGTGTCCTAATTAGATGACGGGGACGTTGGAAGGAGCAATTTAACTAACCTACAGCCACGTTCAACCTGGCCACCATTCAAAACTTACCTGAACGGGATGTAGACATCGATCCTCTATCTGTAATTGAAGTTGAGAAGGCTGTCTCTAATTTGAAACGAGGGAACGCAGCAGGACCCTATGGAACGGTGGTGATGAAATATTGTCTGGGTTAACTAAGATATTAGGTAATGTCTAGGAATCACAGAAAGTCCCATCAGACTAATGCAACTCGCTAGTTATCCCATTTTATAGGAGGGGAGACAAGTATTCCTGTGAAATTCATACGGGGATAGGCGTAACTAACATGGTATCTAAAGTTCTAGGCCCAATAATCACGCGCAGATTAATTGGTACTTAGCAGAAACAGAAGACCGGGGAACAGAACCACGCGTCCACAGCCTGTATGACAGGAATATTTACCATCCTACACCATTTGCCATATTCATTAACCTGAAGGTGGGGTTCGACTCCATCGACGGGGAGGTGCAGTCGCAATGTCTGCCTATGAAGGGAGTTCCAAGAAAATTAATCACACTAATCGAGGGACTCCATTATAACTCACCAAGCCGGCCATGTAAGTCTTCAGAGAGTTGATGGGAAACCAGTGGCGTCCGTCAGGGTTGTCAACTGTCCCCATTTCTCTTCAATTTAATTATAGATGTACTAATCGACTTAACCCCAACTGAATTCAGGGGTTGACTTGTTACCACCAGGGAAGTCTCATACATTTAAAGTATGCATAAGGTATAATTGCAGAAGATACTGAACACCACGAGTATAGATAATCGACTCTTTGGTATACGATTTCATCCTCATCAAATTTTAGATTATTTCGTGGGCTGGTCTGCATCGACTCCTAGCTTAAGGATAGTGAGTGAGGTGATGGCATACTCTACCACATCACTCATTTGGAAAGTTGCATCAGCCCTCGGCGAGCAATGTTAGTTGATATAGGATGGATGGGGTTGGAAAAGAGCTAATGGTGGTGAAGCCAAAATCTGACATCAGTCCATGAAATCTCTGACAGTTAGTTTGAGCCAGCCACGTCGGAAGGTGTAGCCTGTCTGAATGAAATCATCAGGATTCTAAGAAACAACGTGATATGGCTCAAAATCGTTCCCAACGGCGCAGATACATTCACTCTACTATCTCCCATATCCATCATAACCTCAAATTTTCCCATGTGACTCTTCTGTTTCCCTAACATTTCTACTTATTACAGTACTTTTGAATTCGTCTGTCTCACTTGTTTATTTCTGTATGCTATATGAAATGTGGCAACTAGAACTGCTGCACTTGTGTGCCAAGTCCCATGTTGAAATTCAATCATTCAGCATGACATTCATGATGAAGTATGGAATTATTAGCCTGAGTCATTTTAAGGGTTTTTCGATCGAGTTATTGATTGTCGCTATGATTTGACTTCACTCGTATAATGATACAGTACTAATAACCCTCTAGCGTTTCAGGCGCAATATCTTGTTAATAAATCATATCAGCGTATATACATGACTTCCTAACTTAGTTCTTAATATATTTGGAATTGGTGTTGTCATCCCTGCTACGTACACTGGGTACTGATTCATGATGCAAGAAGTGTAAAGAGGCCAACTACTGAGTCCTTGTTCACCGAATCAGTAGCCACTAAAAGTAATCGGAATGATTTAACACTAATCCTGAATAATATACTTAAGCAGAAAGAAGTAGGACATTATGATGCAATTTACGAAGTCGTGTTGGTGTAGGCAAATGTATTGTGCCTGTGACGTCATACAATTAATACAGTATTACGAAACTGCACCAAATAAACTTATGCAATGCTGAATAATATTCTACTTCAGTGGCCAAATTCCGATCTTATACTAATACCACTTCAGTACTCATATTTCATGAGCGTATACAATCGCTACTTCTCTTTAATTAAATATTACAGCAATACGGTACAATACATCACACAAAGTAATCGGACAATCACTTAGGAAGACTATAAGGCAGTAGGAGAATAACAGAATGAAAAAGCCTAAGTATACCAACCTGATTGACTTTGCACTGACGTACGGCATTTCGAGTCACCACGTTTCACAGGCAAAAAGGATAGTAATAACGTAGAACAATATAGTTCTATTGGGTATTATAAGTCACAAGGCGTGGATGCATCTGCACTATGCATTGAGAACGATTTTGGGCCATATCACAAATTGTCACCAGCCGTTGGTTTTTACCATCCCGAGGACGCCAACCAGGAAGTCTACACCTTCCTACGTGTGTTTAACTGACTGTTTTTGATTTCGTTGACTGATTGGGCCATGTTTTGTTTTGACCACCACTGGCTCTTTTACAACCTGATCCTTTAATCAGCAAGTGTTTCAACCAAGTACATTGTAAGCAGCGTCCATTACACCAGATAGCAGAAGAATCAAGGAAACTGCAGCATACCCAGCTATAGCCCACTAAGCCGTATTACGCACCAACAGGTGTCCCTCATGCCTCAACACTTTGTCATAGTCTGACAGCCACGGCAAACAGTTAACGGAACGGAAATCAGAGAACAACAGTAACCTCAGTGTTGTAGATAAATCCTACCGATGGATACTGGAAAGGACAACACTTATACACAAGGATTCCCGTCCGCCATAATCTACTCAAATATAATACCAAGTTACAATACATCAAATAGTTTGATCTATCCCCTTTAATTGTTTACACAATCATGAAGTTCATCAATGCTGTCCATCAGATATCCCAGAAGCAAAGATTTAAACAGGGGGAAAATATGAAGAGCGAGTGCTTCGAAATTCAAAAGGCGAAAATCCAATTCACCCACACTAGACTGATTATTCCAAACTATGTGTTAATAACATCTGAGGATACCCAGGAAGTCTCAAACGCAACTTTGGACACAGCAAGCCTGTTGTATGTATATAACTAAATACTGATTAACCTTTCTTCTGAAGAGACTTACTTTAGATGAAATATTTCCCTCCATAGTCCTACTAAATATAAGCAATCCTACGAAAACTGTTGTGTTAAAAAACATATTCTTCTCAAATAACAACGCTAAACAAAACTAGTTACAAGTTGACAATATAAGCAATTTTGGGGAGCGAAATTGTGCGTGGTAACATCCCCACAGAAAGTTGATCAAAATGTCGCACTAAGTTGAAATAAGGAGATATGCCTACATCATATAACCTAGCAGTCAAATGTTACTGGATATGATAGTGAAAGTGATGTTGACCCTTAAAAGTGGGAATGAAAAACGAAAACTCAAAGCCAATTTAATATACGGCTTTTTTCACTGGTGTTTATATTCGACAGCCATAAATCTATCTGGACCAGTTACACACAAGACGTACAACCTAGTAAATGCCAGACTAACAGACAATGAATACTCACTGATGAACGAAGACTTTCCTGGACTGTATTATATTTTTTTACACGTAATCACAAATTTAATTTATTAAGTAAATTTAAGTGAAGTAAATTATGAAAGAAACAGATAATGTTTCCTAAAACAAATGAAATTAAATATTATTTTAAAAATGAATGATTAGACTTTTATTAACAACTGGGAGCAGGTGTTGTAGCTTCTACCAAAGTGAGTAGCACGTGCATTTTCTTTCAGACACAGGATGCTCAACGAGTGAAATCAGCTGAGCCTATTTGGCAGAACTATTATTTTGAGATGCAGGCCATCGATGTGACCACCAAACTAAGAATTGATAAAATCGAGGGAGGCGGATTCTTTTCATTTGTAATCTATACGATTCAACTGAACGAGGAGATGAGGTCGAATCATTAAATTGCTGCGGTGGTCGTAAACACCGACGACATCGTGACAAAGCCGCTGTCTCAGCATCTTCTGCTGTTATATCACCACCTTCGCTACTTCCACTTAATGCCTCACCAGTAGAATTTATATCATCTTCATCAAAATCATCCAGATCCAATTCAAGATTATTCCTCAGAGATGTATCACAACATTCTTGAACTCGCAATATTGCTTTAAGCAACTCCGTAGTGGCTTGGGGATCAATGTGAATAGACTTCATCGGTGGACAGGCCAACCCCATCCCTGCAGCTTCTGATTGTAATCGCCATAATGCAAGAACGATTAGGTCGTCTGAATGACCTAGTGCACGAGCGTTTTCTACTGGCCATGACTGAGGTGCTGGTGATGCACTCATTATTTGAGCAATTGAATACAGTCTATCTGCCAAAGATGGATATTCACAAGTCAAATTCTGAGAAAACTGATCGGTGAAATGTACTACAGGTCGTGAGACTACTCCGGGAAGACCACGAACTGATTGCACTTGGCCAGCTGGAACCAAAGATTTTCGGGCGAGAGGTATTTCGGACACAAGGAGACGGTGGACAACAAGATACAGACACGGCATAGTCGGTATCGGTGGGCGACAAAAATCATCTACGGAACTCATTTCTATAGCAGCAGTAGCCGCAGCAGAATATGCTATATGACACGCTTCAGGTTGATCCGTAGCTTGCCAATCTCGTAGTCCTAAACCACAAGCAGGACAGACAGTTTCATCTCCAGAACCAGTATGGAAAAATCCCGCTGAAGCTAGTTCAGATGCAGATGGAACAGATTTTGAGTTTTGAATCGGTGACTCTTTCATGGAATCTTTCGAATGAATTCTTTTTGGGAACGACTCCAGTCGTGCTTGATGAGAGGCATAGCGAGGTGTACGTGCATGAATTTGCAATAATCCAGCTGCATTTGGGAGAATAAAGAAAATTACAGTGAATAAATACCAACTAAAAGAATGCTGTGGTGGGTACAAGTTACCATAGCAAACACAACATTCGGACTTATGATTTAAAGTCAGCAAAGATGACTGTACGGAAACGATAACAGATAATTACACGGCACGGCAGATGTAGTGGATCATACAAGCACAAGCCTGGCCAACCACGAAAAAGGATCCAATCGTATCCTTCAACAAAAATGTCGGGATATTTACTAAAGATTCGGAAAGCGAACTATGCTGAATGTCCAGAATATCAGCTGTGAACGCATTCCCACTTAAAAATGTTCCTGTCTTCATATCAGACCCGAACAAATATATGACATCAGAAATCTAGAATACATGTGAGAAAAAGGTGGAGTACTGCATTTTAGGTGACTTACTGCATATATATATATATATATATATATATATATATATATATATATATGTCAGATGACATTGTCACTTGTTTAAATATGACAGCAACTACAAGCACTTTCTAGCAATTCCTATTATTATTCTTCTTAATATCCTCACCTATGAGGACAGAGATTTTGAAAAATTACGCTTATATATGACTACAGTTTGATAATAAAATCGTTGAGAAAGAAGGGTCGATAGACATTTCCTTCTTAAGCTTACTTTGGCGGAAGAGAACACAAATATGCTGAAATGCATTGGATTTTAATATAATGGTTACATATTGCAACTTGTTTAGGATAAAAAGACATTGCTAACGTGGCAGAACTCATGCACCACTACCGTGAAGACTTAGTATAAGCTGCAGAATACATAGCGTAACCTAGCATGTAAAGAGGTAATATCACTTCTTAAACACTTCTGCTTCATAGACCACTGCTAAATAAGACCTACTCAGTGATACTGTGGCTACTATATCCCCAATAGGGACTTACGTGGTATTTTATAGGCCCGAAATATCTGACCCTTATCTACTAGGACAGGTTTGGACCTTGCAATACATCAAAATATGGTACTAAACTTTCAAGAAATTTGATATGCAAGCTTGTGATCAACCTACAGGAGCATATCCTCTTCTAAAACAAACATATAGTAACTACAATATTCACATGTACTGAGGTTCACTTAGTCCACTGCCAACTAAGATAAATTGCTTAATTATACATGTATTCAAGGTACTTTAACGTCTTTAGGTTAATGTATATACTGTAAACATTTCTAACCAGTTAGTAATAACTAGGAGCTTAGTGTGTGCAACATTTCCCTTGAAAACGGTAAATGTTTGAAGCTTGTCTGGAGTTTACACAGAACAACTTCAAGTAAAAATTCAACAATGTGTTTGCACCCAAACATTTTTCCATAATGAAACTTACCTAAAACGAGAGTCGCAGATGCGTAATCCAATTCATCTTCTGACTGCACGGTTGCAGAGAAGGCGTCATCTAATGCAATCGATAAGTTTTGGAAACAAGACATTTTAACAGCGTCTTCGCGTAAGGTTGCCACTACGAATCACCCGGAAAAGCACGGCTACGTCACTCCAACAAAACCGAAATCATCGACCCACTCCCCAAAAACACACCGAATTTGTGATTAGGCTATCCACCAAATTTCTAAAGTTGCATTTCTAACTCCCACACCCCAAACGACCTTCAATTCATTGACCTTTAAGCTTTCTCCTGAATGAATGGAATGATTCGACCAATCACAGTTACCTGCCTTTCATATTTCTAATAGGTCAATATTTAAGTAACAAATCAGCATTCTTTATTCTTCTCGGATGACCTTCGGTGTCATGTGGTTGATTTGGCTGGCATAAGCGGCCTTGAGGAAAGAAAACTTTCTACAATATTACAACAGACTAGCTTTTACGAGAATTGCTATAGCCAAGTTGAGATAAAAGTGGGTGTGTGTCGTAAAAACATAGAGCATTGGGATTGTTTTCTCATACATTGGATAGGCTTGTAGTTGCAACGGATATCTGTAACATTGTGTGCGTCGGTGGCACAGTGGTTAGGACTCTCGCTGACCATGCACATGGTCTGGGGTTCGAGCCCACGCCGGCGCACACCTGATATCTATGGTTGGCCTGCAAAATTTGGGCTACCGATATCCATGCTGAAAATTCCATACTTGTACCAAAAATACAGTGTGGAATCAAGCTGTAAATCAAAAATCAATCAAAATCAAAATCAACATAAACCACGTACGTGTCGGTTGTTCTCCATTGACACTAAAATAGTCCTCAAAATTATAATCAGAATTTTCATACATTTATTCCCCTAATGAATTTGAACAAAGCAAGAACTACAGTTTTAGCAGAATAAAAATGGTACCATCTTTTATTTCGTTGCCTTCTCGTCAGCTGCTTACATGGCAAAGACATTATTAAATATATCTACAACAACAATTTTAACATACTTGCACAGAGTTAAGTTTAAACAAAAATCAATCGATCAATATACTCATACACTAAAAATGTATACATGGTCAATCTAAATATGCGGCAAAATAAAAATGAATTTGTTTGTAACCAGTGGAATATGTTTACTAAACTTTAGTTGGTGTATGAGAACTTTGTAAAGACGACACCCGTAAACCTTACCAAATTTAGATAATTAATAAAAATCCGAATAAAGCTGCTGAAGAGCTGTGGCTTACGCGGCGAAACATTCAGAGAAATCTTGTTTTGATTTTCTTAACACGTTGGGATTAATTTAAATAATTTATAGTGAATCAATCTGACTCGGCGCTCAAATTATTCCAAGAAGTTCGTAACACCTACGGTCTGGAAACCTATAATGCTATCTTAATCCTGTTCTAGCAAATTTCGTGCCTGTCCAAACCCTTCTTGAATGAATCAGTTGAGGTTGCAGACACCATTTCTTCTGATAGGTGGTCCCAGGAGTTTATGGTTTGGTAATCGCTTCACACATAAAAAAGTGTGTTTATACTTTGATAAGTGTTTAAGACGACATTTGACTGTAATACAATGGATAGAATCACTCGAGAATGTGAAAAATTCATTGGTTGAAGTTGACCAGTGGGAATAAATAAAATTCGCAACTCCTCCTCTTAATTTCTTTTTGGAACAAAGCAGATTGTGTTTGAATAATAATGTGAAACCACTTAGTGAGACCAGATTATAATCATAGGGCTCATGAAGGCATGTTTCTTGTGGTGTGATTATAGCCGTGTGGCGATAAGTATCAGATGATAGGATAGATTGTAGATGCATAATCTCGTTAGGAAGAGAACAGCAGTTTGTACAAACGATAACAACAACAACAGTAGTTCGATAATAAAGGCGTTCGGTTTAAGTCCCGCTACGATCACCAGCATGCCTTTCGTTAGCTTTCTTGGGACTTTGAAAGTCACTTGGTTTTTACACAATTTATCAACTCTTGAGAATATATATGATACGATTTGATGTCATTTTGGTAAATACAAACGAAATACGAAATTGATTAACTGCAATATGTAAATACAGTAATACTTCACACCAGGGGGATCATTTTTCTCTTTTATAAAACTATGAGGGCAAGTGTTTGATGATACGTTTGGATAGAAAACGCCGGCTCGTGTGAAGCTAGACGTCTCGGCCTTAGCCGACGTTTTCTATCCAAACGTATCATCAAACGCTTGCCCTCATAGTTTTATAAAAGAGAAAAAATTCTCCCCCTGCTACAACTCTATCCTGGAACATCTGATTCAATATGGACACCAAGCTAATCCACAAAACAACTTCAAAGTTATCTACAGAATACTTGGGAATCTCGCTAAGAGAGTACAAATCAAACTTCTTCAAACCAGAGAGGCAATGGTGATCCATATATTAAATCTTGAATTCGATATACAAGAGAAGTTTGTTCAGTCATTCAATATACAATGGACCTGATCTATCTTGGCACCAATTAAGTAATTTTTTTCAAGTATTGATTTTTGTAGGGATTTTGTTTGATTGTTTGAAGGATTTCATCATGAACTGACATCAGTTAGAGAACCATTGGAAAACCTGCAGGGAGTACTGGATAGGTCTACGAGCTTGCCTTGTAACCAACTAGCAGGTCCAGGGTTTTTAACCCTTCACTGTGGGTTACTGCGTACTTCTGAAAAATCCCAAACTAGGACGTAGGAAACAGCTGTCCAGTACTCCCTGCAGGTTTTCCAGTGGTTCTCTAACTGATGATTAAAATCATCCAACTAATTTTTTTTCTTCTTAATTGTATTATTTTCTTCCCCACCCTTTATTACCACACTGTTGTTAACTTGACTGTCGTTCAAATTTTTTAGTTGAATTCTACTCAACCTCGTCAATTAAATTACGTCAATCAGTTTATTTATTTTATTTAATTGTATTCTCTACCCGATTAGCGTTTAAGTCATGACGTAATTTGTCATCTAAAATTTACAACTCTAATGACGCATCTTTGGAAATATTCCTTTTCTATAGTTTGGTTTGTAAGGGTTAGTTATGTTCTTACGAGTTGATCACGGATTGATATCAGTTAGAGAACCACTGAAAACCAGGGAGTACTGGACAGCTGCTGTTTCATCTGTGATCAACTCGTAAAAACATAACTAACCCTTACAAACCAAACTATAGAGAATTAATCTGATGCTCGCTAGTGACTTGCTACAGGTTGGAGTTTCCTGAGTTCTATTGAGAAGTCGTGAGCAGTGAGGTCCAATTAGATGTCATGTGTGTGGATGGACGCCCCACCAACGACAATGGTTGGGGTCGCGCTAAATCACGAATTGGTAGAAGTTAGAATTCATAAGCCATTAAATTGGGTCCCAGTGGCTGAATGGTATACGAGCTAGCTTGCCTTGTAACCGGAAGGTCCTGGGTTCGAATCCCAGTGGGTGCGTACTGACGATGATTCCCAAACTAGGATGAAACTGCAGCTGTCCCTGGTTTTCAATGGTTCTCTAACTGATATCAATCCGTGATCAACTCGTAAAAATATTCCTTTTGTTGCTAAGATAATGTATATTATATATATATATATATATATGCGATTGTGTAGCTTGAGAATGATCTCACCGAAAAGAGTAACTCTTTGCCAACGCTTTTTCAGGCTGTTGAAGGCTACACTGCAAATCGAGTGTGTTTCAAGAACTCATAAATTTTAGCCCAATTCATCAGATGAATACTTTATTTATGCAAGTTTCTAAGGTTAAACGCATACAGAAAAAAATATAAGTATCACTTTTTGACAAAAATACCTGATCTATAAATTGTGAGTGTAACCCGTTAACCTGTCTTTATTAAGTGAATAAGTGAATAAATCAAAGCACATATCAATAGGCATATATAACCCTGGAGTGACTGTGGTAGAATTAATATGCTTGTAAATAAATATCTAGATTTGATAGTGATGGAATGCAAGGAAACTTAGTAGAGAAAAAACACTCCCGAAAAAACAGATGAATATATATATTTAACATATGTAAACCACACAGGATTAAATATGATAAGATTTTAAGATGTCTGATTTAAACTCATAAGATAGTTTCAGCACTTCTCACAAAGATTAATACTCAACTATGATTTTTCGAATTTGCACAGGTATTGAGAAGAATACCAGTATGTGAGACTAAATAACGACAATAATAATAATAATGTAAGAGAGAAGAGGTGAGAGAAGGAAAATTATATAGGTAAAAAAAGGTATGCTGCCAAGGTAGATTTAAGCTGACTACTGTCTCCATTTGTATACAGAGATCCATCTTCCTTATTCTGATTGCACCGGCTTCAACAAAACCAAGAGCTGTTATTATTACCTTGCTTTATTAGTAACTATAAAGCTTTTCCTCAATGTCACCGTATGATCACAGTCCAATAATGTCGTGTGAATGAGCTCCTTTGGATGCCATCATGAGTACTAATCAATCGAGGTAGTGTTTATCAACGGGAGTCGAAAGATATCTTTCAATACGTCCAATGTATTTGCTTCCATAAACACATGTAAAATAATATTCACATTTTCATTTGGTGAGGATTGGTATCTTATTCTTACCTATTGCTGGCACTATCCTTTTTGTTGTTTGTATGAGCAACATATCAACTGCATAATGGTTTCGTTTGATCCCTTTCTCCAAGCCGAGTTTCACCATTTGAGTAACACTATCCGCCTTGAAAAGTGTCATTATAAGGACAAATCTTCTTTTTAGAAACAGTATCTGATATTTCTTTCCCTTTATCATTTTTTGTATACTTATTTATCAACCTTTCCGAATGCCTGCTTCTCACTAGCGTTGACCTCAAAGATTTCTCCTCGTAGTTTAGTCTGCCATGTGAACATATGCTTCTTGCTTTATCAAATAATATTCTGACCAGATTCTTTGTATATTGCACCGGGAAAGAGCTATTGAAATGTACAAACTGTCCAGTTCAAATTGGTTTTCTATAAATTGTTTTACCCACAATATCATCATCCCCTCTTCAAGCAGATTTACATCCAAGAAATGCA